GCTTGATTGTTGTTTTTTTCTATTGACTTAGCTTTCAGAGAGTCTTTCTCCTCTCTGACACCTGTTAAGTTGGACAGCGGTAGGGGCAACCAATTCAATTTATTCTACTAAGGCAAGATAATCACCTGTTTGTAAAGCAACTGATTAGGACTGGGTGAATGGCAGCTGCATAGTTGACTAACAGTCCTCTCCACGTTGGTGGAAAATCAGCAGTTTCCTGGCACCGAAATGACTAATTTGTACCAATCGCATCCTGATTATTTATGCTAGCAGTAGGTTTATAAGAGCGTGAATGAATGGAGCCCATCAATGCTATTAGCAATAATAACAGTGGGGGAACTTTTTTTTTAAAAAGTGTTTGCCGGTGAAATCAATTATTGTCTCCATAGAATACATGCATATCCTCACTTGTCCAGCTTTTATGCTGATGGGGTTGTGTTGACATTTTGTTGCCTGCAATTCATAGAGCAGCAGCCGCCCATTCTGATAAAATCGAGCCCCTTGGAATGCTGCCGAACCTGCAGCGTTTTGAACAGCAGGTCGCCCTGATGACTTTGTTTTGTTTGCTTGCAAAAAGTCGTGCTCTGATACGCAGGGGCTGCATTTTCGCGAACAAAGGCAAAACAGCAGTATGTGGTTCTGGAGGGATTATTCAAGCGCAAGAGATCATGGCTGTGTACTCGTAGCCGTTATATACAGGAGGAGTACTTTCCCCACTGTTTGGCGTCACAGCATGGAGAGGAAACAGCCATGCTCTCAGGAGTTTTACTCTGGCAGTATTTTCACAAATGAACAGTTGAGGAGATGAGATGCAATGCTCCATCCCACTTTTCTCAGGAATGAACCTCCATGGCACATAGACTAGCCTACGCACAGTGGGAGAACAGGCTCCCACTTGTCCTGCACGGTCTGAAACAATTGGAACCTATTGGACATCCACGTATGGATGTAACATTTCCATTGGCCAATGAATCTAAAGCCCTGAGCTCATAGGGGTTGAAGCATACGATTTTTTGTTGATTTGGGGCAGGGATCCCCAGCCTTTTTGAGCCTGTGACCCCTGCTATTCTGATACAGGGTGGCAGGCATAACCACAAAGCAGATGTCACAGGAGGTGGAGACAACCACAAAATGGCTGCTGCAGGAGCTGGAGCCACACACAATGAGGAAGCCCACGTGCAGGGAAGAAAGGGGGTGATTTTAAAAATATACTGGGAAAGAGGAGAGAGGGAGAATAAAATCAACCCTGCGGTAGCTGCCGCCACTGAAACAACGTTATTTTAATCTGCTCAGCCGATTGGAACTCCAGTGGCCAATTGGAAGCCCTGCTGGGCAAGTGCCTCACCTGACCCCGCCCACTTTTTAAAAAACACATGGCGGGCACCAGGAAAGGCATTAGCGGGTGCCATGACACCACACTGAGGACCCCTGCTTTAGGGAGTATATTAGGTTTCAGCTGTGATGGCCCTATTGAGGAGATATGACAAGTGTACCAAAGTATGAAGTGTCCCAGAGGACAGGGAGGACTGATTCAACCTTACTCCTACACAGTAAGAACTGTGCATCTTTGTGTTTTTAATTTTCCCTCACATTTCTTTCAAGTTTTCCCTTTGTAGCTGTGAGAACTGGAAATCTGCCTATATTTATTTTTAGAAGGAAGAGTCTCAGAATGACAGATCTGGTGCCAAAGTATTACAGGTGCATAGAATGCATGCAGTCTTGTATGTTCCTAGCATTAACATGTTGCATAGGCAAGCGTAAACTCTCATAAAATATGATTTGCATGCATTCAATTAAGATGCAGCTGTCACATTTGAAGCACAAGAATTCTAATTCACTACGTGTTACAGGGAACAGTTAGCTGAAACATACTCTTGAGCATTAATTGGTAAATGTTGTTAACTGCCATCCCTATTAGCACACAAAATTTCTGAATCCACCCCCTCAAGATTTGTAGATTGCCTAGGATAGCTCAGGGTCACCTTGGAAACCCTGAGTTTCCTGCTAACCCACCAGGTAAGCTTGGGATGTCTGGAACTAGAGAAGCAATAGCTCTCCATAGTAAGAATCCATTTCCCAATGGCCTTTTCTTTACATGCTGAAAGCCAGTCTGGGTGCCTGCTAAAGCCTTCACGAGGCCAATTCAATACAGTCATATTCTTGTCCCCAGAACAAATACGTGGGAAAGACTTTGTGTTGAACTTCAGCACGTGGTATGAACATTCTCTGCCCTTTTTTATCCTGTGAAGCAAAATCAATCCATTGAGTTTCCTTGAGGGAACTCACAGTTGCCCATGCCAGTAGGAGCGGATGAAAAGTTATCCTATGATCCACAACTGGGTAAAACCCATCAGGGATTAGGGCTCCTGAAGATAAAAAAACAGTGGGAAAAGTTCTGTATTCCAAGTGAAATAATGATGCATGGATTTAAATTGTTGGTCTGCCATTCTCCACTCTGGGACTTGCTGACTTGGGCTGTTGGCTATCCCATGTTCCTGCTGCTTCTGATGGCCACTCTCAGCTGCATTCATTACTGAATGATAAACATGGCAGCCAATTTGAAGAGCAGGGCTCTAGCAGGCCTGTGCCCTATGCCCTTTGTTCTGATCTTTTGCTTGTCTTTCCTTTTCCACAGGAGTTTTTTGAGAATCCCGCCTTTCGTCCAGACGGCATGAAGCTCTATCCAACTCTCGTGATTCGCGGCACAGGCCTGTATGAGCTCTGGAAGTCTGGGAGGTATAAGAGTTATCCTCCGAGCACCCTAGTGGATTTGGTGGCAAGAATTCTAGCTCTTGTCCCCCCATGGACCCGAGTGTACCGAGTGCAAAGGTAACTTTTCTTTACAGTTGTTCCACTCCACTCTGTAAAATATAGCAATATGACAACTGAGCCTTTAGGGCTTAAAATAGTTATAGTTGCTCATCTACTGCTACCTACTTCCCAGAACCCTAGAAAGATGTGTTCTCATGATATCTTACACAAACCTATTCCAGATTAACTATCCCATTCAGAATAAATACCAGCGTTTGAGGGAGATAAATTCTATTCTCAAACTGTCATTGGCTCCCTGTATGTCGCTGGCTCTTCTGTGCTGTCCTGTACTTATAATTCGTGTAAGGAAATCCTACCGCTTCATGTGATTCAGGCTAATTTCGCACAGTAGATTAATCACACTTGACAAAGAGTCCTGCTCCTACTCTCTGTCACCCCTGGATGAGTCACCCTAGATCGTGGTGTTTTGCCATTTTGGGCAACTCTGGCCAAACTGGGGAAGTGAAGCTGGGAGGAGGTATGTGGTAATGATCTTCTGTATCAATTTACCCTTTTGATAGTTGGCACAAACACTGCTTTGCAATAAGGATTGATGGGGTTGGCATACATGCAGGCAGCGGTTAAAGTGGCGGGGCATTGGGTTGGTGGGAGGAGCAGTCATGATGGTGTCCGTAGTATTGCAGGAGTGGAGAGTGGACAAGAGAGCTGAATGAGCACTTCCTTCCAAACTGGAATGGTTTAGCGGAACATTCCATCATAGAACATGCTCACACAACCTGTGATCCGCCAAGGCAAATGCAACCCACTGGCTGTATATCGTACCCTTCCAGGTATCTGGTATCTCCACTGGTTTTTTTGAAGTCCCGGGCAAGCAGCAAAAGTGCAAGATTTATTGGTCCGCTGGTTAGCTGTCATTAATGGCTGGTGGGCATCATTTGGCTTCTGGATCTCGCGTTGTGCAGGTGTGCTTGGGTGAGAATGGGGTTCTCGTCACCATTCATATTGCCAGCAGTTTTCAAGAAGGCAGCTGTGATGTTTGTTCAGATTTAGCACACGTAGTAGTTTCAGTAACAATGAATGTGCTAAATTAGGGCAAGAGTGTGTGTGTGTATAGGTAGCTCATGGAGTGATACAGTATATCTGTATTGAACCTTTTGGAAGATGGAAAGCACCTACGATACCCTGTCTTTCTTCCAAAGAGATCAAAAGAGAGTACGTGTTTCTTCGTCCCCTGCCCCTCACAATGAGGAGGGAACTAGTCTAAAGTCCCCCAGTGACCTTCATGGCTTAGGAGCAACTTGAGGCCATATTTCCCGGTTCGAATTTTCAGTGGCTAAGAGACATTGCACGCTCACAATAGGAGTACATCTTTGAAGGGACATGTGTGAACTGTTCACGGTGAATGGAGGGTGGCTGCCACACATTGTGTTAAAAATCTAGTCATTGAGAAAGTCTCCATTTCCTTTTGATCATTAATGGTAGGTTGCATTCTTTTCTTTTTCTTTCTTTCTTTCTTTTTTCTTTTTGGTAATAGAGCAGAATAAATGCTTTTTCAATTATACTCCTTAACAACTGAGATTGAAAGAATGAACATGTGACTACAATGTAAATTACAAGTCAGTAAGATAGGTTTTGCTGATTGCAGGTTGTAGCGGCATTCATGCCAAGGGCAAGCCCACTCTAGCTGGACATAGTTTCTGCCATTCCTCTTGATGATGGTAGCACAGAAGCTCAGAGCTTTTACTTTCCGGGAAAACAGTCTCCGTTTGACCTCCCACCCTCGTTCCTCCCAGAATTGGGAAACAGGCCTTTTATCAAAACCACTCCAGCCCCTTCTGTGCTGTACAGTCCTGAATAAATATTTATAATTAAAATAAATATGTAGGTGGAGAAGAGATATTAACAGCGGTAGAGTCCTACTCCATGTCCATTCAGGACCTGGGATGCAGATGATCACAAGCCTTTTTTATCGGTGGCACTTGGGGTCAGGTCTTCCTCCCTAGAGAGATTCACCTGGCTTCTTCTCTGCTGAGTTTTAGGGACAGGATAAGACTTAAATGCGGCAGGTGTAGCTCTCTTTTTGCTCCCTGCTACTGCTGTTTGGTACTTTGTTGCTGTAGGCTGGGTTTATTTGTGGGTCTTTTATCTCTTTATATTTTGTCTTCCAGAGGCAGGCAGTGATCTGGCCCTCCAGAGTAATTACCAGCAGGGTGACCTTGGGTCAGTCACAACTCCCTCAGAGCTCTCATAGCCCCACCTACCTCCCAGGGTGTCTGTTATGGGGAGGGGAAGGGAAGGTGATTGTAAGCCACTCCGAGACTCCTTCGGGTAGTGAAGGGCGGGATATAAAACCAACTCTTCTTGGCCACTGTGTGAGACTGGATGCTGGTCTAGATGGACCCCTGGTCTGATCCAGCAGGACTCTTCTTATATTCTTACGTCTACATCGAAAAGTGGAATACAAATATATTAAATGAGTCTTTAATGGAATTTCCAGGTGACCACCCTTTTCTGGCTGAGGTGAAATCGGGCTAGCCTACTCTACATCTGGATCGAAGTGGTGTGGCGGCGCTGTTACTGTTAGATCTGTCAGCCGCATTTGATACGGTCGACCATCAGCTGCTGGCCCACCGCCTCACCGACATGGGGATCAGGGGGCTTGCCCTTCAATGGCTTGCCTCGTTTCTCCAAGGTCGGGGACAGAGGGTAGTGCTAGGGGAACAGCAGTCCCAGAGGCACCCGCTTGAGTGTGGGGTGCCTCAGGGGGTGGTGCTTTCCCCGATGCTGTTTAACATATATATGCGTCCCCTCACCCAGATAGTCCGGAGGTATCGGCTGGGGTGTCATCAATACGCAGATGACACCCAGCTCTATTTGATGTTGGGCGGCCAGTCGGACTCCAACCCAGAAGATCTGCACCGGGCTTTACAAGCCGTGGCTGAGGCTGAGCAGGCTGAAGTTAAACCCGGCGAAGACGGCGGTCCTGTGCTTGAGTCGGACTGGATTGGGGTTAGGGCTCCTGCTCCTGACCTTCGATGGGGCACCGTAGGTGCCAGCTTCAGAGGTTAGGAGCTTGGGTGTGCTTCTGGACTCTACCCTAACAATGGAGGCCCAGGTGGCGGCCACTGCCAGATCAGCCTTTTATCATCTCCGGCTGATACGGCAGTTGGTTCCTTTCCTTGACTGCAATGACCTAGCTACAATGATCCATGCGATGGTCACCTCGAGGCTAGACTACTGCAACGCTCTCTACATGGGGCTGCCTTTGTCGCAAATCTGGAAGCTACAGCTGGTGCAGAATGCTGCAGCCAGGTTGTTGGTGGGCGTCCCTAGCTGGGAGCACACCCAACCTGTGCTGAAAGCGCTGCACTGGCTGCCTATAGCATACTGGATTCGCTTCAGGGTCCAACATACCTGAGGAACCGCATTTCCCCATATATTCCCCAAAGAGCACTTCGGTTGAGGTGACAACACTGGCTGGTGACCCCGGGCCCTAAGGAGGCCAAGCTTGTGGCAACAAGGGCCAGGTCTTTTTCAGTGGTAGCTCCTACCTGGTGGAATGAGCTCCCGGAGGAGATCAGGGCCCTGCGGGACCTTGTGCAATTCTGCAGAGCCTGTAAGACGGAGCTCTTCCACCAGGCTTATGAGTAGGAGCTGCCACGGCCACTTCCACCACCGCTCCTCTATAGAGAGAGACCGCCGGGGGGGGGGGTTGGGCAACATCTTTCCATTACCCTAGCCTTCCCCTCTGCTACGCAAGATGTTAGGAGTTTTATATGTGCATCCGTTGAAATCGATTTTAATCTGTTTTAATTTTTGTATACTGTATGCACTTTGTGCTCTATGTGAGCCGCCCTGAGCCCGTTCGCGGGGAGGGTGGGGTATAAATATAATAAAATAAATAATACATTGCCAATAATTAGTGTTCATTGAATGCTGCCTCCTTCACTGCCAGAGCCCAAAAGCTGTCAAAAAGAGGACCCTTTATAAATATCTCCCAATAGACTCTTTTCAATAGGTGTAGGCAGGGCTCTTTTTGTAGAAAAAGCCCAGCAGGAACTCATTATCATAATAGGCCACACCCAACAACAGGACCTCATTAGCATATTGGGCCACACCCCTGACAGCACAGCTCATTAGCACATTAGACCACACCCCCATGTTATCAGAAGTGTGGTTATCCAGCCACACCCACCTTTTGCTTGTTATTCCGTTTACCTTGTTTGTTGTCAAAACCCAGGGCTTTTTTGTAGCAGGAACTCCTTTGCATGTTAGGCCACACCCCTAATGTAGCCAATCCCAATGAGTTTCTGCTGTTGGGTGTGGCCTATTATGCTAATGAGTTCCTGCTGGGCGTGGCCAACTTGGGAGCCAGCCAGAACTCCGTTCCTGTGCGTTCCTGCCCAAAAATAGCCCTGGGTGTAGGTAATATTCACTGAAGAAGAAATATATCCACTCATCTCAGCCAATACCTTAGTGGTCAGCTAAGTTCATTACCCAATATTAAATCATTCCCTTTATCAGCTATCCAGGGTTTTCTTCCCCAGTGGGAGAAGAATATCATATTTGTAATTGTCAAAGCCGAACATTTTTAATAACAGCTGGGCCTGCTCAAGGGTGGGAGTTAATAATAAAAAAACCCCAAAAGTAATTCATCTTAGCTTGCCAGGTGAACTAATACGAACAGTTTTATTTTGATTTAATAACACCATAAAAAGTTTGTTCAGGTATATTCCTTGCACCTCAGCCATTGCTGAGGCACAGAATGTGTTACTGAGCTTCCGTTTGTTGGTCTTCTGAAGTGATGGTTTTCTAAGTTACTTCTGCTAAGAAAAACCCACAAGTACAGCACAGAAGCAAAGGTCTTTGCCTAATTCTGCCCCCTAGCACTGAGTTTCTGAGGTGTGCTGACTCTTGACTATGGAGGTCCCTTTTAGTCACCATGGCTAGTAGCCATTGATGGACCTTTCCTCCACGAATTTGTTTGATCGTCTTGAAAGCCATCTATGCTCATGGCCATCACTGTGTCTACTGGCAGTGAATTCCGCAATTCCGTGAATTCTGCAATTCAGTGACTCACTGAGTAGCCAAGCAGAGCATGGAATCCATAACCATCCCCAGCAGCTAATGTTCAGGGATGCACTGCCTCTGAACCTGGAGGCTTCACCTTCCCATTGATAGACCTATTCGCCATGAGTTTATGTTGCCCCCACCCCTGATAAAGCCATCTGAGCTATTGGACATCACTGCTTTGTGTGGGAATGAATTCCATAAGTTAATTATGTGCTGTGTGATAAAGTATTTTCTTTGATTTGTCCTGTATCTACTGAGTTAGGGTATGAAGACAGATCTATCTTTGGTGAGTCCTCTTAAAGGTTAATTTGTAGCATTCCCCAGCCCTTCACACCACATAACTGCTGTCATGCTTTTGAGTTCGTGAAAAGCACAAATGAAACGATTTATGTCTGGGAGCGTAAACTTAGCCGCCATTTCAGCATCTTGACATCTGACGTTCTAATGTGTTTTTACCCTTGGGGAATCCAAAAATGGGATCTTAAACATCACCCGGATACGGGAAGAGCAGGCCTTGCTTCCATCTAGGTGCCGCAAATGGCATGCATTTGCATATATGAATATGGTAATGAACTGTGCATCACATGCCCTCCCTACGTAGACGAGTGGCTCAGATACATTTCACAGCAGATGGCTACTCTTGAGTGCCTTCGGGCGCTCCAGTATGTCGTGCCGCTATTCCAGAGACAGCAAACCCACCATGCTAGATATTGCTATCTAGACCTCTTGTAGGGTGCCAGAGTGGTTTTATCGTCGTCCCCGTTGTGAAGCACGCAACAGCCTGACCCTCTGGAGTTCTCCAGTAATTGGAAAGAAGCGGCTGTCTCTGATGGTGGCCTATGCTCTAACGTGCCCAAATGAAAATTGCATCCTCTTCCAGCGCATCCTTTTAGACCAAACAGCAAAATACTTATTTCCTCTAATTGCTGCTGTTTGGAGACTGTGTTGGTGTCTGTCAGCTCGATGATGTTGTATTTATTCTAAGAGGTCCCTTCCAACTCTATGATTCTGTGAATAAGTCAGCAGAAGAATAAGCTAACTAGCGAGCTAATTATTTTTTTACGGAGGGCGGGGGTAATGAAGTTGATGGGGAGGAGAGCAAGAGGTAAGGGAATTAAAGCCCAATTGGGCCTTGTAAAAAGAAAAGAAAAATCAGATATGTTTATGATATGCTGCCTCCTTGAAAACCTAGTTAAGTTATCTCAGCCTCTTTCCACTTGTAGTTTGGACCATCAGGTTGAACTTTGGGTTCTCTGGTTTCCATGTCTGCTTATAACAGCAAATTTTACTTGGATAGTTGGCGCTTCAGAAGACATCTGCAGAATTGGCTCCGTCTGTTCTCCCATGTGCCTCCTCATACCCCTGAAACACTTTCAGGTGGTGGTGGTGGGTGGATAGCATGTAGGGCTGCCAACTCTGGTTTGGAAAATACCTGGTGATTTGGGGGGTGGAGCCTGTGGAGGGAGGGGCAGGACCTCAGTGGGATATACCGCCGTAAAGTTCACCCTCCAAAGCAGTCATCTTCTCCGGGGGAACTGATCTGTGTTTCCTGGAGACAAGTTCTAATTCTGTGGGATCTCCAGGCCCCACCTGGGAGTTGGCACGTCAAGGAGAAAGCTATGGGTGAATGCATTTTCCTGACATGCTAGTTTTCATGGGGGAGCAGTCAAGCATCCCTCCATGTGCCTGCAACGTAAAGCGGAAGCAATCCGGGAAATGTTTTTTCCAGCTTCTGCTGGTTTGTGTAAACCTTAGGATGCCCCAGTCCCAGTGCAGTGTGATGGCCCATCTTGGATGAAGCTCAAACGCAGCCATCTCAAGAGGGCTTGCATATGCAGAAATGTGGGACGGAGCTACGCCTGCTGTCTGGACTGTGGTCCCGCAGCTTTTAGATTTGGTACTGAACGTGAAGACTGTGTATCATTGTAGAGGGATCCGGGAGACGCAAAAGAAAGCCCTTCACACTTCATCTGATGAGTTCATCTGCAACTCATGAGATGCACTGCTGTAGGTACAGTGGTGGCCCACAGGGTTAAATGGCTTTAAACAAGGGTTAGATAAATTTGTAATAAATAATAATAATAATACTTTCAATTTATCGATCGCTTTTTCCCACTCATGCGGGCTCAGAGCGATTTACAGTTACTCAGAGACAATGGACTAAATGTATTCGTCGGAGATAGGGAAAACAATATGCAATATTTAATCGCACACACATTGTAGCTGGTTGGAGGATCCATCTGCAGGCTGTATCAGTCATGTCCCGACGGCATGTATTCTGTCGCCTGGCTGATGATGTCAGGGCTCTCAATGTCACACTGCCACCGCCTGGCCGATTCGCTCCACTGCAGGGAATGCCGAAACAGATTTTTCCGCTTTTGATCTTCACCGTGCCGCAGATGTCACACTGGCAGCTAACACCTCCCAAGGGGAGTGGTGTGCCCACCCCCTTACGGGTGGTCCCCAATTTATCTACTTGCCGAAGCTTTCGAATCGCTGGGTAGGCGATGAGCTAGGGACAAACCTTGGTTGCTCACACCAGCACGGGGCTAGAACTGACAAAGCTTGGCAGTTCAGATGTTATAGTCATGCAGGGGATTTACCCACTGCGCCATCGCTCAGTGAAGGATAGTGGAGGATAGATCTATGAATTACTATCCATGACGGTGGCAGAAAGAAACTGTCATGTGCAAAGGAAGTCTGCCTCTCAAGACGAGGTTCTGAGGACAAACAGGCAGAGGATGGTTGCTTTCATACCCTGCTTATGGCCTTCCTGGAGACCTGCAATTCACCTCTGTTGGAAACAGGCCACTGGACTGCTTCAGCAGGTCCTGTTTAGCCTTGTGTCATGTTTTAAAACTCTGTGGTCTATACTAGCTGTAGTTGTCACGCTTGTTGTATAAAGTAATGCAGAAAAATAGCTGCCACCACATAAGTATGACACAATATCCTTAAGGAATCCTGGTCACTGAGACTGCAGCAGAGAAGGACCAAGGGCAGCGATTCGGCAAGCTGTGCAAGAGAGGCTTGAGGCGTCTGCTGTGCCCTGTAAGCATGCCACTGGAAATTGGCACTTCGTGCTTTCCTTTTATGCAAAGCCGTGCCCTGCACTTCTTGAATGTTTCGGAGGGTTTCTTTGGTTTACCTTCTTGTCTGTCTGGTTGCAGAGATATCCCAATGCCTTTAGTCAGTTCTGGAGTAGAGCACGGCAACTTGAGAGAACTAGCTCTTGCCAGGATGAAGGACCTGGGGACAGAGGTAAAAATCTATTGCTTTGATTGAGTTTTTCGCGTGTGGTGTTTCCTTCCTTATGATCCATGTTTCCATGTTTGTGTTTTCATGTTTCCATGTTTGTCCATGGTGTTTCCTTCCTTCCTATCATACACTCAAGCATGTTTACAGAGTCCCCTTTTCTCCCAGGCACGGACAAAGTCCAATTAGTGGAGCTGGAGAACATAAGGAGAGTCCTACTGGATGAGAACAAAGGTCCATGAACCTTGTTTCCCAGTCTCATGCAGTGGCCAGCCAGTTCCTCTGGAGCTCCAACAACATGGCAGAAAGGCCTTCCCCTGCTTCCTGGCACTGGGATTCAGAGGTTTTGAGCCTCTGAAACAGGCGTTCCCTTTAGTCATCATGGTTAGCAGCTTCCCCTTTTTAAGCCGTCTATGTGTCCATCGCTACATTCCGCATTTTAGTCACTTGCTGTGTAAAGAACTATTTCCTTTTGTCTGTCCTGAATCTACTGCCCATCAGCTCCATTAGATGCCATCAAGTTCTGGTATTTTGGGAGAGGGAGAAAATGTTCCATTGTTTTGGGAGAGGGAGAAAATGTTCCTGAGGTCTGTCCAGTGTCGGGCCCTTTATACCAGGGAACCCAAAGAAAACGAGTATCCCGTTCAGCCCCCAAGCCCCGCCATTCAACCTAGCTGCCGGCTCCTTCTGTCTAAATCAAGGCACATACAGAAGGGGTGGGTGGGTGCATCAGAAGAGCCCGCTTCACAGAACAAGAAATTGCATGCTCTTGGGTCCAGTGGGATTTAGTTAAAGTGCCATTCGTTTCACAACAAGTGAGAGTAAATTCCTGGATGCAGACTCTCCAAATGCAGTCGCCAGGTAACCGTTTAGTGATTAGACATTTGAATGTGGCGTCCATAATGCTTCACGGCACAAAAAAGGAACAGCAACAGAGGAGAAAGAGAGAGGACAAACAACTCTGAGCATGCCGACAAAGAGGCAACTCTGCCTTTTGCACGCTCCGAGAAGTGACTGAGGAGCATGCACAGATGCATCTGTCTAGGCCAGTGCAAGGCAGTCTGCAGCCATTTTTGCAATGCCTACAGGAGCACGAATAGCTAGACATTTAAGTGAGGACACTGGACACGGGATGTCTTCATCCCCACTCCACCACAAAGCTTCCTGGGCAGTGTTGGGCCGATCACATACTCTCAGCCTAACTCATCTCACAGGATGATTGTGAGGAGAAAGCAGAAGAGGAGAGAACCAGATATACAGCCTGAAGCTCCTTGAAAGAACAGTGGCATGACATTATTTATTTAAAATACTCCTCTGAGACTGTCTTTGGGAGGGAAGGCTGCATGATATAGCTCAGTCTTGTCAGAACTCGGAAGCCAGATGGTGTCAGTACTTTGATGGGACAGCTCTGCCAAGAAAGGCAATGGCAGACCACCTCTGCCTCTCACTTGCCTTGAAAGCCCCTTGCTGGGTCAGCTGCGACCTGGAGGACTTTATACACACACACACAAGACTGCCTTTCTTTCAGTAAGGCTGGGACCTAAGGCAAGGAGCAGTGTCTAAAACAACAATCAAATAGCAAGATGATGTAGTACCTATAGACATTAAAAAGATAGCTGCAAAATATGGCCAGCAACCAGTGCTTCTTGCGTGCCAGTCTTTCAGTCAGAGTTGGACTCCATCTATTGCAGAACCCTACCTAAAAGCAGCAGCTGTCCCATCCAGCCGTCCCCTCGTTTTTTTCTGAGTTCATTGTCAAGCTTTTTGCCTCAGCCCCTTGACCGCAGCACAGCATTCAGGCCCTGTCCCAGAACAGAGATGGCATCATCCAGAGCCTTTTTGGACCCCGTATTGAATGTCAAGTCAGAACCATTGCAGCATATCGATGGGGATGTTCCCTGCCCCACAACTATGCAACTCCTTTCTCTTGGAGACTGACTAAGAAAGCCAAGGGAGCCTTTGTAGTTGAGGATCTGTTAGGTTTCTTGGTAGTTTTAATTGGATCTTTAACTGAACAGTTTATATTCACTTTGTAATCGATCATTAACCACCCGGTGTCTTCAGAATGAGTCAGGTAGGAAATGTTTCCATCTCCCCCAGCATTTTTATGACACTTGATTTGGAAAGATACAGAAGTATTTTATGCAGGTGGGGAAAATGGAATCAGCCTGCAGCCCATCTTGGTTATATCTGGGAGAAGAGACCTGAGCAGCTACATCTAAGTCCCCTGGCGTTTGTTTTCTGTCTCCATCAGCCACAGGTCCCACCCATCTCTTAGTTTTCAATCTAATTATCGGCAGGAGATCTCAGCAAATTTCATCTTACCTTCTCATTTACAAACATAGAATTTCTGAACCAATTTTTGCTCATTAAAAGTTTCTTCTTGCGTTTTGAAACAACCTGATCGGGAGTTTGTTCGCAGAACTTTAGATTAGCCCCCCCCCCCTGCAATTCTGTATCTCTCCAAATCAGAACACAGTAAGAGTTAGCATTTCATTACTGAGGAATTGCTCTGAGCCTTGTTGTTTGTAAATCAAATGCTACATTTTCTCATGAGACCCAGACTCTTCAGTGAAAATGATTCCTTATCAGTATGTCCCTCGTATTTAAACATCCTGGCTTTTTACCCCCTTCAAAGTGTATTAGGGATGGATCAGTGAGCATTTTTATTTTGAAGGTTCCCTATTTGAAATCTATCAGCTTAAAGTCTATTCCAACTTCATTTTAGGCTCTGAAGGAGGTAGTGGAAAATGTAATGTACCTTAGCCATGGTGTGTCTCACTATGTAATTGTTGTTTTATTTCTTTCTCTCTCTTTTTCTTTTTCCATTTTCCCACCTAGTGCCGTGATGTGAGGACAAGAGAAGTTGGAATACAAGAGATTCATCACAAAGTGAGACCGTATCAGGTGGGACTTGTTGCTTCTCAGCAAGGCTTGCTTCTTGTGTTTTAAGTTTCATTGGGTGGGCAGAGAATGGGGAGTTTCAGAGATGCAGCTGTTGTGGCTGCCAAAAGGAACTGAAATTCTCTGCCAAGCCAAGCCCTGTTCTCCTTGCCTTGGTGATCCTGGGGACTGGCCCTTTGACTTGTATACCAGAGGGCTGAGGGGTGTAACTGCTGCTCGCCCCCCCCCCCCCCCAATTGGGTCCCTCTCTAGCTGAACACAATTAGCTGGGGTAAATGGTGGGTCACAGAACAAGGATAAAAAGATACAGTTGCAAACACACAGTCTTGTAAATGCTAAGTTCTGTTGTTGCTAGGGCAAGCTAGTAAATCTTGAAGTTTCAGCTTTTAAAAGTCCATCATTACCTTAATTCTCAGAGCAAGGGCTTCTCTCATTGTCCCTGCACATGAGGTCAAGATGGAGTCCCTGAATGTGGCTCAGTGGTAGAGCATCTGCTAGCATGCAGAAGGTCCCCACATTCAACCCCGGCATCTTCAGTGAAATGATCTGGCAGAAGGTGACGTGAATGATCTCTGCCTGGGTTCCCGGAGAGCTGCTGCCAGTCTGAGTAGACAGTATTGACTTGGATGGACTGATGATCTGATTCAGTATAAGGCTGATAAAGTTAGGTAGCTGTGTTGGTCTGTCTGTAGCAGTAGGAAAGACCCCAGAGTCCACTAGCCCCTTAAAGACTAACAAAATGTATGGCAGGGGATGAGCTTTTGTGAGCTCATGTCTTCACATCCTGAAAAAGTGAGCAGTGACTCACCAAAGCTCATACTCTGCCGCAGGTTTTGTTAGTCTTGAAGGTGCTACTGGACTCTTGCTCTTTTCTATAGTATAAGGCAGCTTCATGTGTTCCCTAGATTAAGACTTATTCCTTCATGGCTTGAGTACAGAAGAACCCAAGAGATAAGAACACGACAGCTGCTTCTTTGGTGTAGTGGTGTCATGGTTAAGTGCGCGGGCTCTAATCTGGGAGAACCAGGTTTGATTCCCCACTCCTCCACTTGAGCCTGCTGGATGACCTTGGGCAAGCCATAGTTCTGGCACAGCTGTTCTTGAATAAGAGCAGTTTCTGTCAGAGCTCTCTCAACCCCACCTACCCCACAGGGTGTCTGTTGTGGGGAGGGGAAGGGAAAGGCATTTGTAAGCTGCTCTGAGACTCCTTTGGGTAGTGAAGGGTGGGGTATAAATCCAATCTCCTCTTCTTCTTCATGTCCTGAGAATTTATAATCTCTTGTCTGACCTTCCTCTTGTAGGACTCTTTGCATGAGGTGTCAGCCAATGAAACTTCCGTCCAGAGCCATCTGCCCTGTGCCTGTGAGACAACTAATTTCCCTATAGCTTTTCCATTGCTGTCTCTCAAGTTGTAGAAGGGCACTTAGGGCAGGTAAAGAGTGCAGACCCAATTATTGCAATGCTGATGTGAGTCCCAGGTGTAGGTCATGTCTCCACATTGACTTTTGCACCTGGTACCTGTGGAACTGCGGAAGTGGAGGTAGGCCCTGAATTTGGAAGTAATCTCAGCGACTTGGTTTTCCCAGCACACCTCTGGAAGTCAGCCGGAAGATCTCAGATATCTTGGAGAAATAGAGTCCAGCCTCTGCCACCCCACAGGATATCCCACACCTGAATCATGCCAAACAGACAGTTTTACAAGAAAGTCTCCCCAGAACACGGCAGTATTGCCTAAGATTTTCTCAGGAGTTTAACCTTTAAACCTGTCTTTGTGTTGTTTATAACTGTTGCTGCTGGGAGGTTGTCCCTCGATTAATCCCTGTTTTCTGTCGTCCTTTTAAAATCAAACACAAGTGTTGTGGGGGCAAGACCTAGTTTACCCTCCTGTTAGAATGAGCTGAGTGCCTGGTTGTATTTTTAAAAGTATGCTTTGGTCTCAAAATATAGGTGTTTTTATGGCTGTTATACAGTGGCTGGAGTCCATCACCCAACTATCAGGTGCAGTAATTGCAAGCCCAGAGTGATGCCGATGTCTGAAATAGTCCTCAGTGTTACTTGAGATGAGTCACTGTTATAACGTTACGCCAGTGTTCCCTGGCACGGTGCCCGTGAACACCAGGGCTTCTGCCAGAGTGTTTTGTGCGTGCTTCTTCCTCGTACCATCCCTTTCCCAAAGGAAAGACCAGCCCCTGCCTTTCTTTCAGTTCACTGGAAGAGGAAGGAGTGTTTCAGAAGAGCCTAGGCGGCATTGCCTCTTTGTCTACAGGGGGAACACCCATTCAAAAATCGCTGCCTCTCTCACAGGAAGAAGCGTAACTTGGCACCTTTTAACATTTTTGTTGAACTGCAATGTTTTGTGAGTGGACTCACCTCCCCATGGTGGACATTTTGTGCTTGGCCAAGGACCCAAAGGCAGCCATTTTGTTCGCAAAATTTTGAAAGGGCTCACAGGTTCAGCCATGTTGAGAATCCCTGAAATAAGCAGTATTAATAGAAGAAGAAAAAGAGATTGGATTTATACCCCAGCCTTTACTCAAAGTCTCAGAGTGGCTTACATTCTCCTTCCCTTCCCCTTCCCACAACAGACACCCTGTGAGATAGGTGGGGCTGAGAGAGCTCTGAGAGAATTGCTCTTGAGAGAACAGCTCTGAGAGAACTGTGGCTTGCCCAAGTTCACCCAGAAGCTGCTTGTGGAGGAGTGGGGAATCAAACCCGGTTCTCCCAGACTAGAGTCCATGCTCCTAACCACTAGACCAAAACTGGACTCAACCAGTAGCTGCAACCACAACTTCATAAACTTACTTAAAAGGCTGATGGTGCTAATCTCAGTGTTTAAAAGTTCAGTATATAGCACTGTATGGATAATGAGACTGAAATAGAGAGCCAGCTCACAGTTTTACCACACAGGAGCATCAGGGCTGTGCATGGACCTCCTGTTCCCATGTGTTACTCGGGGCTACCTGTGTAAACCTCAGCTCCCACAATCCTCTGCAACATTTTGAGAAGGGAGGAGTCATTAGGCCACCTCATAGGTGCTGCTAAGTAACGGCATGCAGCAGTGCAATGCAGTCCGGATCATTCCAGCCTGGAGTGGGGGTTGAACCAATCCCTATTGCCTCTTCTACTTACGTATCGTCAGTGGTGCTGAGTATTCAATATGTTCCTTCTCACAGGTTAGAGGTGCTAAGATTTATAGAAAGTGTGTGTTCTCATTAAAGTTCTGCACCAGTTATGGCTTGTGTGAAAAATACAATAATCATGCTGTTGGCTCTTATCTGATGCTGCTAAAACTCTGTCTGCAATCGGATGGACTTTGTGAAACCATTTCTCACCCTTCCCCTCATATAAACAAGCACCAGCATTGCTGTGAAATTGACTCTGGTCTCTTAAGGTTGTCACACCATTATTTTTTTTATTGTCGCTGCTGCTATCTGATGACTTTCGTCTCGGCTTTTTGTCCATTTGAACAGGTCGAACTGATTCGGAGAGACTATGTGGCCAATGGGGGTTGGGAAACTTTCTTGTCCTATGAGGATCCGGAGCAGGACATCCTCATTGGCCTCCTGCGTCTGCGGAAGTGTTCGGAGGAGATATTCAGACCAGAACTGAAGGGAAGCGTTTCTATTGTCAGAGAGCTCCATGTGTATGGAAGTGTGGTTCCTGTGAGCAGTCGAGATCCCTCCAAATTCCAGCATCAGGTATCCATGGCTACATCAAAATACATTTTTAAAAACAATATATCCCTCTGGGCGGTGGTGGAAAGTTCCATCAAGTTGCAACCAACTAATGACGACCCACAGGATTTTCAAGTCAAGATAGGAACAGAGGTGGTTTGCCATTGTCTCCCTTTGCATAGCAACCCTGGACTTCCTTGGAGGTCTCCCATCCAAGTACTAACCAGGGCTGACCTTGTTTATCTTCCAAGATCTGACAAAATCAGGCTAGCCTGGGCCATCTGGGTTAGGGCTGATTATATTTTCTGAGCCTTAAAGGGAAACCTGCTTACTAATGTACTTCAAGGAACTTTTTTATCTTCTTCTCCTCCTTCTCCTCCTCCTTCTCCTCTTTGTTGCAATATAAAGAAGAGTTGTTTCTAATATGCTGCTTTTCTCTACCCTAATGAGTCTCAAAGTGCCTTACAATCGCCTTCCCTTCCTCTCCCCACCACAGGCACCTTGTGAGGCATTTGGGGCTGTGAGAGTTCTGAGAGAACTGTGACTGGCCCAAAGTCCCCCAGCAGGCTTCATGTGGAGGAGTGGGGAATCAAACCCGATTCTCCAGATTAGAGTCTGCCCCTCTTAACCATTCCACCCCGCTGGCTATGTACAATAGCCCTGTAATGTAGATCTGCATTATTGTAGATTTGGGAACAGCGGTGCTTGAGGCTGAGAGCAAGAGGCTTGCTAGAACCACCATGGTTGAGGGGATGTTCAAACAGGTGACTTCCTGCCTAGCAGTGTATTCTCTGGACCAGTGGTTCCTGACCTTTTTTGCTATCGTGACCCACAAGTCCAGTTTTATTTGGTTTGGAGACCTATTTTAAGAGAGAGAGAGCATGCCCAAATCAGTAAAACTGATCAGTAACCCACTTTCACAGGCTTCATGACCCACAGGTTGGAGAAGGCTTCTCTAAACCACTGATGAGGGTCAGCAAGTGGCTACAGCCTGCTCTAAGGAGGGTTGCACCTGTTTCTCATCACTTTAATAAAAATATGAGAAACTATAAACAGTTTAGGATTAGGTTTTGTAGTGACAATAATTACAAAATGTGGTCACTAAAATACAGAACCCTGAAGGTTGAAAAATGAGTCTGTCTCCTAATTTTTGGGGCTGGTTTATAAAACCAAAGAAATTTTTCCAAGTGCTACCTAAAAGGCTGATGCATTTTAGGTTAAGTTCTCAGTGAGGTGGTGAACCTTGGTCTGGACAAGGAATGCTCTTCCACACAATTAAAGATCCCAGCTCATAGAAAGCTAGCCTCGCACAGAGGAGGGTGGGGTGCCAGTCTAGCTTTCTTCCTGACAAGCTGGTTTCCCATATGCAGGACAGAGATAGACCTGGCGGCGGGGCTCTCCGGGTCTCCCCCGAGCTGCAGCACTTCTGCGCAGGCCCGGAGGACCCAGTGGCGGGGCTCTGCGGGCCTCCCCCGAGCCACAGCGCTTCTGCGCGGGCCCAGGGGACCTGGCGGCGGGGCTCTGCAGGCCTTCCCCGAGCCGCATTGCTTCTGTGTGGGCCCAGGGGACCCGGCGGCGGGGCTCTGCAGGCCTCCCCCAAGCCGCAGCGCTTCTGCATGGCCCGGGGGACCTGGCAGTGGGGCTCTCCGGGCCTCCCCCAAGCCGCAGTGCTTCTGTGTGGCCCGGGGGACCTGGCGGCTGGGCTCTCCTGGCATCCCCCGAGCCACAGCACTTCTGCGTGGCCCAGGGGACCGGGCGGTGGGGCTCTCCGGGCCTCCCCCGAGCCGCAGTGCTTCGGCGTGGGGAGCTGGGGGCAGGGCTTGCTGCTGCCACCATTTGTGCAGGCTCCTGGGCTGCCGGAGCTCCAGTGCGCTCCAGCCCCAGAAGGACCCCTGTGTGGAGGAGAGTTCCATCATTTGAGCCCCTACCCTGCGATGTGGGCTGCAACAGCCCCCAGATACCCAGTTGACCTCTCAGGTGAGAACCGGTCCTTGTTGTGACAAAATTAGACCTGATGAAGGGCACAGACTCAAAGCATCCTTAACATACATCTGATGTACAAGCTCCCACCCAAATACATCCGTTAAGTCTTTCAGGTGGTTAGTTGTGTTTTTTAAAAAATGTAATGCATTTCAAGCATTCAGAGCACTTCACATACTTCATCTCAATAACCTACAACAGGAGTTGTACACATCTCCCTGCTGTTACTGCTGGGATAAAAATAAGCGCATCAGATATAAACAAGATCCTCAATTTGGGCCGTCTTTGGGCTTTTGGGAGGGGATAAAGAAATTACTGTTGTCTGCTTTATACCTAAAACCGTCAGGACTGATGGGTTCGGTGAGCTTCACTGCTGTCATTTAAAAAAAGCACCACCTTTCTTCAAAGCTGGCTCTCTCCGCATTAGAATGCAGCTTAGGTTTGATAGTAATGACCCTAGGCAATGAGGCAGCAGTGGTAAATAAAGGGGGAAGGTGGAGGGAAAGATAAAGAGCAACGGAATATGAATACTTACCTCCTGAAAGTGAAATTTTAAAAGCCAGGAAAGCAGCTGACGCACGTGAAAGGCAAAAGGGGAGGAAAATCAATTGAATGGAGCCAGCACTAACAAATTGAAATAGATTGAAAACGGAGACTTGGGTGTATGACGCACAAATACAGGCTGAAAAAATGTTTACTGGGGCATCTGAGAATATCCCAGAATTGAATACATTGCCGCTCTCCCTCCGCTTCCCATCTCAGAGCATGATGTTGTTACGTCCTCCCTGCTACCCCAAGTGTTGAGAAGTTCCAGCGGAAGAGCTGCTGGGCTTAGGTTTGATTGGATGAGAGAGCTCAGAAGTTTTACGATGTCTTGCTAATATTTGCTTTAGTTACAAACATACAGATAGGAGCAAAGAGGCATCCCTCTAAAGCAGTAGATCCAGTACCTCATCAAGAGAAAGATCATGCTACCCCAGGCATTTCATTTTTTGGACAACTCACAGCCAGTTTGGTGTAGTGGTTAAATGTGAGAGCCAGTTTGGTGTAGTGGTTAAGTGTGCGGACTCTAATCTGGGAGAACCGGGTTTGATTCCCCACTCCTCCACTTGCACCTGGCTGGATGACCTTGGGCAAGCCGTAGTTCTGATAAGAGCTGTTCTTGAAAAAAGAGCAGTTTCTGTCAGGAGCTCTCTCAGCCCCACCTACTTCACAGGGTGTCTGTTGTGGGGAGGGGAAGGGAAAAGAGTTTGTAAGCTGCTCTGAGACACCTTACGATATGAGCCTATGTTTGTATTTCTGTATAGTGGTGATGCTGTTTGTGTGTGTCTCTAGCATAAGTACCTCTGCATTGTGTGTTCAGGGATTGCTGTTTGGTTGTGTTGCTTTGTTCTGCATCTCATGCTCGCCTAGAAATAGGCTGGCCTTGGGCTGCTGCTGCACATATGGTCCATGTGCTTCCCTGGAATGCATCCCGTGATGCTCTGGGCTAGAGAAGACACCGCGCCATTGCACCCACTCTGAGAGCTATGGAAAATCCCCAGCGAACCCCAGCATTTCTGGAATGGGAAAGAGCATGTAACCCTACTCTCCTAATCTGGCTTGGGATCTAAAGACAATAGCATTTATGGCTTTGGAGCAGGCACCAGATCTGCAAATCAAGAGGTGTCCATGGGAACGGAAGATTCACACCTCACCACAAGGCACCTTTGATGTAGGAGTAGGATCTGCATATTGCCCACCACCCCTCAAAGAAGGTCACCCCCTCGTAACCCCCTCATCACCCCCTCGTCACCCCCTCTTCAGCCAGTAGTGGTAGTTTAGAGGACGGGTTTGATAGTTTATGGCTAGAAAAGACTGCCCCAAAAAGGAGCTTATTTAAGGAGAAACTCTTCTTTGTTTCTCTGGTTAACCCACCTTCCCCATAGCGTGCACTAAGGTGCTACAAGTGACTCTCTACCTAAGTTCCCCGGAGTCGCGACCCAGGGAGCGCACACGTGGCTTTGGCTGGCCCAGCCTGTGTGTTTTCAGAGTTCACAAGTTGCTGCTTTAGCTGCCCATCCTTCCGAGGAGGAAATTTCTTCTTCAGCTTGGACCTCAGATAAGTATAGCCGTGCCCCATTGTGTCATCCCCTTATTTGATGCTTTTGTTATTTTCTATGCTGTAATTGTTCTGATGTACTATTGTAACTAAGGAGCTTGTGTGAAACTTGTATGCTTCCGATTTTGTATGTCTGATGAAACCATTTAGTAAAGGCAACATTGATTTAACCAATAGTGTGTTGTCTGGCTCCCTGACCAATAGCAAGCATTTCCCCTTTGACCATCTGACCTCTGTATAAACTGGTTTAGAACTTACGCACAGCCACACCCTCCCCTTTCCCGAGGTAGATAAGTCGGATTGGGTCTCCAGGAATTTCCAGGAGGAGTTGGCATAACATTTGGGTAGTGAAGGGCGGGGTATAAATCCAGTCTCTTCTTCTTCAACTTGCACTTTGTCTCTTAGTCAGAGCAGTCTCTTTCAAACTCCAAAATCGTAATTTTCTTCCCATTTACACTCCTGCCCTTGGTTAGGGCTGTGGGGGGTGTCACTTTCTGTAAGCTCTTTTCAGGTGGGTAGTCATGCTGGTTTGCAGTAGAAGAGCAGCATTTGGGTCCTTAAAGACCAACAAGATTTCCAGGGTGTGAGCTTTCAAAAGTCAAAGATCCTTTCATCAGATACTTTGTTGGGTATCTGAGGAAGGGAACTGTGACTCCCAAAAGCTTCTACCCTGGAAATTGTGTTGGTTTTTAAGGTGCTACTGGACTCAAGTCTTTCTCTTCTGAGCAATTTGCACATCATTCAAGAACCCGCTCTCCTAGCCTTTATTTCTCATTAGTAAAGCTTCAGCTAACCATTTTGGCCTGTTAGTTTAAGAAAGCAATGTTCAGCCAACATAGTTATAATGTGAGAATAATGCTGTATTACCCCATAGCTACATGCCTTCTGTCTAGGGCTGAGTGGCAGTCCCTTCCCAAAAACCCTTCCTTCCTAACCAGACCACCCTGCTAGTATAATATATACAACCAGTAGAAAGAGTACTTTGTTTCAGTTGTGGTCAGGAGACTTACAGTACCATCCTAATCAGAGTTGTGCCCTTCTAAGCCAAATGATCTCAGTGGACTTAGAAAGGTACACCTCTGCTTAGGATGACACAGGGCGATTCTGCATCTAGCATTCGCTCCACATCTTGTGAACACTGAGGAAAAGGTGCAGCTCAAAACCACATTTAGATACCTCAGGGCAATGCAGTACTGACTGCAAAGTCACCCCTGAATGGTCATGAATCTATGCAGAAGGTACCATAAAACCTGAAGATCAAAGAAAGTGACAGTGGCATGCAGTGTAGAGGGTACCATAAAATCCGATGATCAAAGAAAGTGAAAGCAGCATGCAATGCAGAGGGGAATTTCTGTTCCAACATGGGTTTCGTAAAACAACAGAGGGAAAAGCCTAAGCAGAATCGCCCACGGTCTTTGTTTGGGAGCTGACACTTCTAGGGGATTTTGGCATGCTCAGCCGGTCCTATGTAAGCTCCAGGCAGCACTTTGCCGCATCCTACTCTTCGTAAAGCCAGCTGAATCAAGAGGCAGCAAGTTCCCATCTGGATTTGTTCCCATTTGCAAGACTTGGCTCGGTGTAAAATAAATAAATAAAAGCATTGTGACGTGAGCAGCACTCGGCTCTGTAAATGTAGTGAACTGTCATGGGTGGAATTTTGCCACCCTGTATTAGCAGTGGAGTGGAACAATCCAGCTACCATATCTGAAGCATTTCCAGTTCAATTGGAGCTTGAAATGGACGAGAAGCAGTTTGTGGTGTGTCCCCCCCCTCAAAAACTAACACTATTTTATTCCCACATGTTTACTTTTGCTGCAGCAGACTAAGACAGCTACCTCTTTGGAATCAGCTGGGACTGCAGTGAACTTTGCCCCATGCACAACTCCTGGCTTCTAGGAGAGGGAGCTGGGTGGCTCCCTCAGCCTCTGCTCATGTGTACGTAACAGAGTTCGTGCTGTGATAGCTTTGCACTTGGAATCTCTCTGCACCCACCTTTGCTCCACTTCAGCCAATGAACACGTAGGTCATAGAATCGTAGAATCACAGAGTTGGAAGGGGCCACAGAGGCCGTCTAGTCCAACCCCCTGCTCAATGCAGGAACAGCCTGAAGCATCCCTGACAAGGGTTTGTCCAGCTACTGCTGAAAGACTGCCAGGGAGGGGGAGCTCACCCACCTCCCTGGGCAGCTGATTCCACTGTTGCACAACTCTGACTGTAAAAAAGTTTTTCCTAAGATCCAGCTAGTACCTTCCCGCCCTTAATTTAAACCCATTCTTGTGAGTCCTGTCCTCTGCTGCCAACAGGAACAGCTCCCTGCCCTCCTCTAAGGGACAGCCCTTCAAATACTTCAAGAGAGCAATCATGTCCCCCCTCAACCTCCTCTTCTCCACACTGAACATTCCCAAGTCCCTCAGCCTTTCCTCATAGGGCTTCGTCTCCAAGCCCTCAATCATCCTCGTCGCTCTCCTTTGCACCTGCTCCGTTCTGTCCACATGCTTTTTGAATTAAGGCCTCCAGAACTGCGCACAATACTCCAGGTGCAGCCTGACCAATGCAGTGTACAGTGGGACATCTTTCAATCTGGATGTCTATAGGTCTGTGTACTTTCACCCAGAAAGCGCATCCTTCCAGGCCAGTGCTGCCTCCTTCACCAATTTCTTTTCGTATCATCACAGACAGTGCCATATGCAGTCATTGTAATTTACAGTGGGGTATGCACTAAGAGCAAGGATAAGGTCCAAAGGGACAGAGCAGAGCAGCACTACTGAAGTTAAGCAGATTTGGGTCTGGTTAGTGCCTGGATGGAAGACCTTCTGGGAACTCTCTATAATGCCGCCTTGGATTTTCTATTAGAAGAATGCTGGAATAAAAATATACTAAATAGCCTCTTAGAAGATTTTCTTACTGCTGTCACAGTGTGTCTATCTGGACAATGTGTCAAGTGAACAGAAACAGGAGTTATTGACTCAGACCAGACGTGCACATTTCTGCAACTGCTCCTGGCATTTTTCCACCAAACTTAATTATCCGTCTTGCAGGGACTCAATTCATATTCAGGGCACTCTCGTGCACACTAAATAACACACTTTCAATCCACTTTGCAGCTGGATTTTACCGTATGAAATGGCAAATGGTCGCTGAAGTGGATTGACATGGCATTATTTAGCATGTGTGAAAGCACCTTCAGACTGGCTCTAGGAGGGGGGGGGGTTAATCTGCTCTTCTTGCATACCATTCTCCCCATTAGAAATGGCTCAAGCCTCCACTATTTGTCCCACTGGGGAAATGTACACCTGCACATACATTTCCCCAATAAGGCAAGTATTTACGTATTTAGGCAATTTATTATCCTGCTTTCCTCCCCAATGGTGATCCAAAGTACCTTGAAAACGTGGTGGTAGAAGGTGCCCATCAAGTCACAGCTGACGTGTGGTTTTCATGGCAAGAGATGTTTCAAAGGTGGTTTGCCATAGTCTGCCACTGCGTCACAACCCTAGGACTCCTTGGGGGTCTCTCATCCATCTACTAGTCAGGGCCGACCCTGCTTAGCTTCCGAGATCTGACAAAATCGGGCTAACCTGGGCTACCCAGGGCTGTATCCTGGCTATTCCTGATTGTAACTGAAACAAATAAAATACAATTTGGATAAATTAAAAAAAAAAAAGCGAAAGCACAAAACCCATCCTAGGCGGATTCTGTATCCAGTAGGCTGATTCATTTAGTGGTGATTAGCTGCAATCCAAGGGTCAGGAGCCCTTTGACCCTTGCCCTTCATCTTGTGCCTCTGGCCATGTCCAGGATACCTGCAAGAAGTTGAGCCTCGAGGTTATCAAGCTGGCGGCTTTGATCCCAGATTCCCTTCCCTGCCACAGGCTCTCTGGGCCCCTTTCAAGGCAGGAAAACAGCATGTTGGGGTTGGGGCGGGCAGGTAGGGATTTAAAGCCTCCCCTCGGACTACAGTCTTGATCCCAAACAGGTCCCCGTGTGCCTACTAATTAGTTCTGTCAGAAAAAAATTGCTGGGAGCTGCAGAAGCACGCACATCTGGGCCGAGCCTTTTATCATAATGGCTGTGCTTAGGAATAAGAGCGATTTCGAAGCACTTTTGGATGCAGTCCTTTTTGTTTTTGGAGTGGATTTGTGCAGCTCTTCTCTCTAAATGGTTGCTGCTAGTCAGAAAGGAGAAAGGGGTTCTGACTGTCTTATGCACTTGCGCTGCGGCGCTTGGGGCTTCCCCACCCCCACAAGCATTCAAGCTGTTACTCTGCTCCTTCTGCAATAGTTTTTTTCTCTCCTCTGTCTGCCCACCAAGGCATAAAAAGCTTCTGCCTACTAATCCCTAAATTACAAATTCTCTGTATTCACTTAGTTTCCTTTGTATTCTTCTCTCTTCTGCAGGGATTTGGGATGTTGCTCATGGAGGAGGCAGAAAGAATAGCCAAAGAAGAGCATGGGTCGTGGAAGATTGCTGTTATTTCAGGTATAACAGACGAATTTGCTTTCCAGGTATAATCTGCTGATCTGCCGGGGCAGGGGCAGGCAAGAGAAAGGGATGAGCCAGCGGAGTGTTTGAAAAGTGCACGGACACCAGAAATGCAGAGAGAAAGAGTCTTTCAGGGCAAAGATTCCTAGTCTTTGTCAAAGACAATTTCCTGTCTCAAAGCAAACAATCAGCACAACAAGTGAACAGGTCAAATTAATTATGGAGTGCCTCATAACGTTTAGTGGTGGGGTTGAGTCTACAAGTTATAAAAAGGAAAACAAATGTTCCCTCCCAAACTGGGCCATGGTCTCAGAAGGCTGACACAGGCAGTGCTTAAGTCCGAGAGTTCTCTCAGAATTCTCCCTCTCTCAGCCCCACCTACCTCACAAGTTGTCTCTTGTGGGGAGAAGAAGGGAAGGGTGATTGTAAGCTGCTCTGCAACACCTTAGGGTAGAGAAAAGTGGGGTATAAAAACCTAGTCTTCTTCTTCTAATATAGAAGAGAAGAAGAGATTGGATTTATACCCTGCCCTTCACTACCCAAAGGAGTCTCAGAGTGGCTTACAAACTCCTTTCCCTTCCCCTCCCCACAACAGACACCCTGTGAGGTGGGTGGGGCTGAGAGAGCTCTTGACAGAAACTATTCTTTTTCAAGAAAAGCTCTTATCAGAACTACAGCTTGCCCAAGGTCATCCAGCCAGGTGCAAGTGGAGGAGTGGGGAATCAAACCCGGTTCTCCCAGATTAGAGTCCGTGCACTTAACTACTACACCAAACTGGCTCTCCAATAGTCCAATAGAAGGGCAATAGTCTGGAGAAATTTCAGACATTCCTTATCTAGAGGACAGAATTCCATCTTGCTCGCTCTCTGTGTTTGAAATCCCCATAGCCATGTCCAGTGGCTACAGAGAGCAATTTTTCCCTTCCTTCCAACCCATTTACTTAAGGAGCTGTTTGGGGGGGGGGGTATCCATTTCCCTCTGTTAAAAGGCACACTGTGGCAATGTGTAAGAGGAGGTGGTTGTAAAAGAGCTCATTTTATTGCTGATGTTACCAGTTTAAAGACTCTCTAAATACGTTGGGTAGCTCTTCTCTGGGCTAAATACTAAGGGGCTCATTCTAATGCTAATATCATCGATTCAGGGATGTATCTGAGTGAATGGAGGTGCTGTTCCCTATGGAATGGGCATGTTAAAGCAGAGGTGCGGGCTGTGTTGAGTGGGTACCTTGTGTTTCTTCTGTTCCCAGATAGAATGAGCATGAAATACAGTCAGGATTGTGCTCCTCTGTCTTTCAAGGCATCAGAATTCAAAGCGAGGATCTAAGACTGCAAAAGAAGAGGCTATTTAAAAAACCTGCAAATAACAGGTGCCTTCAAGCTGTTACCTGGGAAATACAATCTAACAAAGCTCAGCTTCCGCTTTAGATTTTTAATCTTAAATAAAAAGGCAGCTAGAGTTGGCTCCTGCAGTACAGAACGTTAATCCTGCTTGGTTAATTTTGAGAAGAGTCACATCTTCTGAGAACTGGTACTATAGCAAAATTATCACCAGCTCTCTAACAGGAAGAGTTAATTTTTTTCCCCATCATGTAGGAAGTAATGTTAAGCCACATTCTGCCTTTGGAAACGGCAAAATCTGCTTCTTTATCATAAGGGTCCTCAAACTTGTTGAGTCTAAGGGCACTTTTGGAATTCTGACAAAGGGTAATGGACACAACCACAAAATGGCTGCTATGGGAGGCAGGACCAGCCACAAAATGGCTACCCTGGGAACTATTTAAAAAACATTGAGAGATTCTAAGCCAAGCATCCTCCTGTGATAGCAGCAGCTATTTCCGAATGGGTGCTCCCTGCCGACCCAAAAATGATAACCTCCTGGGATAGGGTTGCCAGGTCCCCCCTTGGCCACTAGCAGGAGATTGGGGGGGGGGGTAGGGTTGCCAGATCCAGGTTGGGAAACTCCTGAAGATTTGGGGGTGGAACCTGGAGAAGACAGGGGAGTTCATCCTCCAAAGCATCCATTTTCTCCAGGTGACCTGATCTCTGTAGTCTGGAGATGAGCTGTAATTCTGGGGGATCCCCAGGTCCAACCTGGAGACTGGCATCCCTATCCTGGGACCTTCTGAAGCACCTCTTACTCTAATAAAGTGGAGAAAAGCCAGAATTGATTCTTTGCTTTGGAGGCAAGATGCTTAGAAGAAGCAGCAAGTGGATACCAGTAAATAGATCAACCAGTAACACAGCATCCATGGATACCATGTTGAGGAATCATGGCTCTCAGTGATGGTGTAATGTTGATCTCCTCTGTTCAAGGCTGGCCTTACCAGGAGTCGAGGGCAGGCCATTTGCAACATAACCTGAAAAGGTCTTGTAAGAGTAATTGTTTGTTACTACCGAGTAAGTACACTTTGAGCATTCGAGCAGGCAGTTGCAAGGAGCAGGAACTTCTCATCCTGTGGAATAGGTTCCCTAGAGAAATGCACCCAGTAACTTTTAATTCTGTATTCAGGTGTTGGACTAAAAACATTTTTCAGTTGGGCCTTTGCTGGCTAACCCGCTGCTGGAAGACTTTTGAGACAGCTTTTGTTTTAGCTGACTGTTGCTTTGTGGCTTTTACAAAGCTGCAGCAAGCCTTGGGAAAGTTAGGAAACCTTCATCCTGAACTTTCCTGGGCAAGTCTTTTTTCCCCTCTCCTCCTCCTTTCATTTTGCTTCAAGATAGTGGTTATTTTGAGTAATTGTTGCTCATTTGCACCATGAAAGCAGCAGAGAAAAGGAGGCACTTAAAGAAAGCTTAAGTGCACATCTTGAACCAGCTTGAAATGCGTGGGCTGGCATTGTGGAGGAAAAGCTGGTTTGCTGGCTTGACTTAGCTGTACATTAGGAGGCACACGCTTTCCCTCTGTCTCTCCTAGCAGGGAATCATTCCAACCGCGCCATGGGCCATAGCATCATCGTATTCTGCAGTGGTTGGACCTTGCAGGGGGGCTTTGTGTACGCATTTACCTGTTTGGAAGAGGCAGAGGTGTGCCGGGTTTCCCCCTTCATTTGTTTCTAAAACTATATCCTTCCAAAAAATTAGAGTCATTAGCAGGGATTCTCTAGATCAATTTGTCTCTAAAACACAATACCATGTAGCAGTACCGGAAGATGTTTGTCTTTTTCTAGGAAAAAAGAATCTGAAAAGCACAATCAACGAGCCTGCAGAAGTGGCTATTATTTATGGCACTTGAATCTCACCCTTTCTTCCATCATGGCATTGGGGGGTGGGGTTTCCCATCCGGGTACTGACCAGTCCTAGGCCTGCTTCGCCTAGGCTTGATAAGTCATATTCCTCCGAACGTACTCTCAGTTACTGTCATTGTTGGGGGTAAGGATGGATGGCTCAACCTTGAAGGGAGACTGTCTAAGTGGATTGCACCTGAAACAGTGGATGCTGACCAATGGTCAACCTGCCAGTATTGAAGGCTCTGTCCAGAGGCACCCGTTTGGGCCCCTGCATGCTGGAGATTGGGCCTTTCATAGAGATAGCGGACATGGGCTTTTCCTCACAGGGATATGGGTAGATGGGTCCAAGTGGACTTCCAGAAGACTCGATTTACTGAGATTGTGCTACATTTGAATCTTCGAGGCCTCTCCATGGTCAGAAGGGCTCTGTGTTCCTCAGCATACTTGTCCTGGTGGCATCTTTCTTCTTTTTTGCAAATTGTCAGAAACAAGAACTTAATTTTTTTTTTCCCCAAGTCAGCCCAGTCACATTGACTCTGGATGGAAGATACGTATTTCATACACAAATTAAATTGGTACAAGCGATTTTTTAAAAAATCTGTTTAAGCTTCAGTCGCCAGCAAGTGAGCCCTTGTAACTAAATGCCAGTCTAAATAAATACAGAAAAAAAATTTTTTTTTTTTGGGGGGGGGGATTATTTTCATCATCTCTCAATGAGTATCTTCCAAGAGCAATAATGGTGGAAGGAAGAACCCAGGACCAGCAGAAACCATCCCTAAATCGATGGCTTTCCTCCACCTCCTTGGTCACCCAGGAGAGCCTCCCACTGAGCTCCAATCATACTTCCTTTGCCTTTATCTGTGTATGAGTATGTTCTCCTCTCCTCTCCCATGAGAAACCCCTTCCCCCAAGTTCTGGGAGCCCAGTCCATTTGCAGAATTCTCGTAAACTGCTCATCTGCCCAGAGAGAGCTAAGGAAGAAAGCAAGACCACATCTTCTGAAATTCTACCATGAAGAATCTACCTAGTGTGCCATGCCACCTCTTAACCAATCCTTTCCTTGCAGTGGGTTCAACACTTTCCACCATTCCAATGATTAACCATTCACAATAGCAAAACGTTAAACTGGCTCTTGCTCTACTTTCAAAGGATTTGTCTCACTTCCTGTTTCCCTTCGTATTTTCTATATTGTTTATTTAAAGTATTTCTATGTTGCCCCAGTTTTCAAGGCAGTTTGCACAAATGGCTAGAGCATTAAATGCATAAACTCCGCAACGCTAATCATGAAACATCAGTAGTACACCCTCCCCCACAAAAGCAAAATCAATTCAACAGCGGACTATTCACAGCAGAAACAATGAATTGAAACAGCAGCAGCGGATAAAACCAAGTTTGTTATTTAAAACGATTCAACACACACTCCAAAACCATAATTATTGCCAAAGGCTTGGAAGAAGAGAAATGCCATCTTCCCCTGCTGTCCAAGATTTCACAAGAGTAGGAACCATTCGAACTCCAGCAGGGAGGGAGGTTCCATGCATGCAGTGCCAACTGCAGAAACAATACCACGAGTGTGAACTGATAATGAGACATAGTAATGAGTCTGTCGGCTTCTGAGATGGCATGTTAACTTTGCACAGGGTTGGCTGGTTTCCTGGCAACTTCAGCCTGAAGAAGAGGCTCCTGTTTTAAAAGGATACCATTTGTAAAACAGTGAATGGGGTATTCAGTGAGGCATTCTAGAAGAAGAAGAGAAGATTGGATTTATACC